AAATAATCCAACAGGATGTACAGGGCGTATGGGTTGATCTTGAAGCGCAATCTTTTGACGTTCTTCCAACTTTCCGCGTTCATTCCGTCATTCAGATTCAACACAACGCATTTGATGTCAGCTGATTGAATCACTTCCGCTTACCGCTGCAATATTGACAAAACTGCATCCGCCACTCACTCGAGCTAACAGTCATCGTCAATCAACTGCACAAGATCACCGAACCCTTGTTCAACGATCTGGTAGCAAAGTGCTGCTACAAAGTGAACCAGATTTCCTCCAACTTCGATTAAGTCGGAATCGATATGAACGCCAATGGTGACAACAGTACGGCTTGGGGCGACCCCGGCGTAGTGGTTAACATCCATTCCTCTCACGCCAAAGTCACGAGTTCAAAACTCACCCCTGGACAAGTAACGAATGACCCAAGAGTAACACAGTGGCTATAAAAAAAAAAATTAAAAAAAAAAAGAAAAAAAAAAAAAAGAAAAAAAAACAGTACGGCTTTGGTTCAGTTTTTTTAACGCGCAGGTGGACAATAGGTTGCACAGTACCACGGAATACGACTTCCCGGTGATCTTGTACAGTTAGGAACCTGAAGCTAAGCAAGCGAAACAGATGTTGATTCCCAATCAGTACTGGCTGGGCGAGTTGACGTCAAATGCGTTGTGTTAGATCTTAGTCGAAATGGACGCGAAAAGGAGCACAGAGAGGATACCTACATCATCAGTTGGATTATTTTAAAAGTATCTTCCGCTGAATTTGCTGCATTAACCGACCAACAGTCATAGGAATAACATGACTTAAAATGTGGACCTTAAAATAAGATATTCCTAACATCAGACCTAGCATAAAAAGAGAAGATAAATTAAATTGGAATTATTGTAAATATGAGTATAATAATATTTTAATCCAATCATCGAACCGTTTATTGTTTTTTTTTCTTCACTGAGATAAAAAGCTAACCATTTAGAAGATCGGTTCTCTGTAACTCCATCGAAAGTTCCATCGGGACTTTTCTGAAATACCTTTTGAACATTCTAGAAGTTTTCTCGAAACTTCCCTGAGTTTATAATAGACCCCTCGGCACATCTCAGAAGTTTTCAAAGTTCCCTGTAGTTACTTTTCGGAAGTTGTTTGTACTATTAGAAAGTTCTTTGAAAATCCAGACAATTCCTCAAACTTATCGGACAAGTCAGGAATGGTTCCAAAGTGTATATTTATATAAAATATATAAGGTTCCCTAGAATTCACAGAAGATCCATGAGTCACTGTGAGCTCCAAGCATTTCTCAAAAGATCCGGGATTTCTTCTTAATTTCCGTTAACTTCTTGGATTATCAGTGAACTTTACTAAAGATCCGAAAGCTTCTATTAACTGACATAATCCCAAGCCATCGAAACTTCCTCACCAAAGCTGCAAAATGCGTGTCGATTCATTGTTGACATGGCTGGTTCTCAGCAATGCGATGACCAATCGTTATGATTCAGCCACCATTTTATTTTCAATAGATTGAAACCCAATCGGACCTGAAGTTGGCCAGCTGGAACGGAAAAACTCGGAAAAGTCCCGAGCAAAATGCGTGGCGAGTCATGTTGTCATGACTGGTTCTCGGCAATTTGGTTACCACATCTTAAAATTGAGCCACTACATGAAAGGTATTTTTCAAACGGAACAGACAAGGAACCGAATGGAGTTGTGGGTGACCAATCGGAACGATAAAACCCGTGAAAGGTGGCTCTGTGGAAATTCGGATTCACCGGGAAAATGGTCATTTCCTGAAAGTAGACCTAGATATCCGCGATTTTTTCCTAAATTGCATACAATCATGAGCATAGAGGAAATATACCATCACCATATCGATTTTTCAACCAAGCGGCCAGAAAACGGTCTCCTGGATATCCGGAATCACCGGGAAATTAGTCAATTCCAGAAAGTAGACATAGAGATCCGCATTTTTTTTTTTAAGTTGCGATTATCATTAGCATAGACGAAATACGACATCGACATATCGATTCTGCTACCGAGTGGCCAAAATACGATCCTCTGGATATCCGGAATCACCGGAAAAATAGTCAATTCTTAAAAGTAGACCTGGAGATCCGTGCTTTTTTAGAAAATGTGAAGAACCCTTAGTTAAGAAGATATATCTCAGTGACATATTGATTTAGTCCCCCGGTGGCCATTAAATGCCTCTCTGGATATCTGGATTCACCAGGAAAATGGTCAGTTCTTTAAAGTAGTTCTAGAGCTGTGCGATTTTATTTTCTAATTTGCAAACAATCATGAGCATAGAGGAAATACCATCATCATATCGATTTTTCAACCAAGCGGCCAGAAAACGGTCTCCTGGATATCCGGAATCACCGGGAAATTAGTCAATTCCAGAAAGTAGACATAGAGATCCGCATTTTTTTGATCAAGGCAAAGTGTTCCGCCTGGTTCGTTCAGCAAACCAAGAAAACGAGCTGAGCTTCGTGTATTCAAGGTCCGGAAGGCACCGAAGCGGCGTGATCTACAAAACACGGCGGCCAAATCCCGTGCAAGGAAGCTGTATCGATAGTGGTTAACGAGACCGATGTGTGTGGTTATGGATGACGAAACCTACATCAAGGCAGACGCAAAGCAGATACCGAGGCTGGAGTTCTACGTTGCCAAATCACGGTTTGATGTTCCGCAAGATATAAGGAAGAAGAAAGTGGACAAATTCGCCAAAAAATACTTGCTCTGGCAGGTCATATGCCAATGCGGTAAACTGAGTAAACTGTACATCACAATGGGTACCATCAATAGCGAAATTTACCGCACCGAGTGCCTCCAGAAGCCTTTGGTGTCCTTCCAGCGGTCCCACGGAGGCGAGACATTATTTTGGCCGGACTTGGCATCATGCCATTACGCGCGATCGACGTTGGATTGGTACAGAGACAATAACGTTTTTTTTTTTGTACCAAAAACCACCAACCCCCCAAATTTACCAGAGATTCGTCCAGTGGAAAGATTTTGGGCCATAATGAAGGCCAAAGCTCGAAAATCGTCCAAGGTGTTTAAGAACGAGCTGGAGTTGAAGAAAGAATGGATTTTTTTTCTTTGGTTTGTTTTTTTCCGTGCTGAGCATCAATGCTACCGACGTGCTAGGAAGGCAGCTCCCACACCTAGACCCTACCTATCGACCCATCATCTCAAAGGTCGGCTCCACCATGGCACAAAATGTAATGAGGGGTCTTAAGAGAAAGGTGCGGACTTTCAGCGATGCAAAGGAAATTGAAGAAAAGAATTATGCCGAAACATAATCCGTATATATTAGTTCATTCCCTGAAAGTTTCAAGAAAATCCGGCTTAAAATAAATTTTTAGCGAACACTTTTGTCTGGTGCATTTTTTTTTTCGAGTACAGGCCTTAGTCAGACCAACGAAAATGGCCGGGCAAAAGGCGTCACCCGTGCTTGATGAAGAGGTGCCATTCTAAGCACTTTTGGACTCGATTTGTAGACTATGCATCAATGACAACGCTTTGCCATGCTTCAAAGTGCTGAAATGTGAAATCGCTGGTGAATTTAATTGACCGCAGTTTCACCGAAATTTCTGTGCTACCAGTCCACCACGAGCTCAGTTACACGATGATTTTTCGGCAGAATTACCGGGAACTTTTGCCTCGTAAGCCAGAGGAGAAGCTTCTATCCGCCCTTGCACGCGCATCACGTTCAATCTTCAATCTTCATAGTTAGGAATATCAATATTATCGAAAAAAAAAAAAATAGTCATTAAACTCTGCAATCAGTTTCAGCTCGAAATTTTACGATAGGTTTAGCAACTACCAGTGTGAAAGTCAAAAACATAAATTAACAATTAAAAGCAATGACCGGTGCGTGAACTAGTTGCTATCTTAAATGGCAACGGCTAAAGTTGTCAAACGCACCGGTGCGGATGGTCCAACTAATTCTTTTGAATTCTAGTTAGAAATCGCAGGAATTCCATTTAAATTAACACTATAGTTCACTACAACGTCACCATAATCCTTTAAATACGGCCAAGTCCAATAAAGCGTTTGACTTTAGATCATGAACACATTGTTGTAGAAGCTCAGCAATTAAATACTGACTCCGAATAAAACTGCCAGCATCTACAACCGGCGTTGCCTGATTTGATACCGATATAAACGCTTTCTTGAGGCTACTCATTTTTGTGTCGAAAATCACTCAGTCCAGCCAAAAGGGAAGTTACCCAAACATGAGTAAACATGCTTACTCAAATTTGAGTAACGTACCTATGGAGGAAACTGGGTAACGGTTACTCAGATGATGACATTTGTCAACTGAGTAAACCTTATCCATTTCGATAGAAACGAATGAAGCCCTATGAATGCTTTATATATAAATTAGTTCGGTCAGGAAGAATATTAAAAAAATTGAAAATGATAATTCTGTTTTTATTGATATCAACGAACTATTTGTTCGAGTTGTATACCTCCCCAACTAGCTGCTAATAGCTTTCGCCATCCAAGCTATTACGTAGCTGCTCCATTTTCACTGCTCCACTTCTAAAATCTAATTTTCACAACTTCAAACTGCGCCATTTTGAACTTAGGAAAAATTGATATCAGAACCATTTACCCAGAATCTGGGTAGATACCACTGATCGGAGCAAAACCAGTTTACTCATTTTTTGACAACTCCATACAGCATGCAAAAAATGAGTGCGATCTATCCAGCCACTGTGTAGCCTCAAAATAGCGTGTACAGATAAGGGTTCTCACAATATCGATTTTTGAGATTTTATATCGATCTGCTTAAATAATCAAAATGATTATTGCCTGCCCACGCTGAACTGTCTGAGGAAACTTTTGTGACAGACTTTTATCTTTTCAATATGAAGCTCCCGAATCATATGCTGAAAACCTCATTGAATCGTCTTCCGTCAAATCTCCATCGCCGTGAATGAACAACAATCTATCTTTAGCCAAAGCACTAATCAGTTCACCTTTGCACCATTGTCCCGTTTCAGATCAAATGGCGCAACAACATTGTCGCAACTATGGAACGCTACGAGCCAGCTCCCATATCGGCCGCTACTTTACCCTCGTCCTACTTGCACCACCACCAATCCAGTAACGATAGCAGCGTCAATCCCGAGTACTCGTACGCGTACTGTGAACCGATGATGCTCAAACAGCAATCCATCCAACAGCAACAGCAGTCGCAACAAGCCGGCAGCCAGCTGCTTCCCAGCAACATCCCGCAGATTCACAAAATCTCCTCGTCAGTGTCGAGCAATGCGCTCTCCAAGTTGCCATCCACCAATTCTCTACGTGCCTTATTAAGTAAAAGCTTCCGGAAAAGTTCGATCTCATCGAACGCGGCCGGTACGTCCAGTGGAGGCCCTGGTGCTGTGGGGAATGCCGTCACGCAAGAGAAGCATACTTTTACAACGCGTTATGGCACGAAGGAGAACATCTACGAGGATGTCGGGTCAGGATCCAACCTAGGGACAGCATTGGGTGGAACTAAAGCCGGAGCAAACATAAACTCCTCTTCGACGCAAAGTTTCGAGTCGATAAGCAAATTCAATATTCATGACGAATTAAGGCACGTTCAAAGCCAACACGATAGAATACTGGGGGAGCTGAATCTATCGGTGGAGACGTTGATCATGCCATCGAAAGACGAACAGGATGCCATTGAAGAACGATTGAATGAGATTCAATGTGCGCAGTATCATGATGAGCTTTCGCAGGACGATTGCATAGCGGCAGGTTCGTCCAATTCAGCTATGATCCATATGCAAGAACGGCTATCGCCGACCACTTCGCAGCCAAACAATGGCGACGTAGATAGTGGAATAAGTGGAAGTAGTAGTAGTGGCGCTAGTTATTCCAGTAGTATGTTGTACCGAACCACTACCATGTATACGAACAACAGCAAGACGGTGACGATCAACGATAACGCGGAGGGTAGTGGTTCTGGAATGTCAATGATGGCCGGAAGTAGCTCGATAAGAAGCAGTTGTGGCAGTAGCAGTGGCTGCGGGTCAGGCCCAGGCGGCGGTTATTCGTCCTGTGGGGGTGCTAGTTGTAGTAAAATGGCTTCTAACGTTGTGATACCTAATTCAAATAAGATAACCTGTTGTTTCTATTCTGATAAGCTAAGCAAAAATAGTAAATCCAATTCCGATCACCTAGAAACGCTAGGAGACAAGTCCAGCTTTTGGAATAAATTGGGGAAGTTAAAAATTTCCGGTGTATTTGGTGGTGCCAACAGTAGCAACAGCAGCAACAGCAGCTCTAGTAGCAGTAGTACAAACGGCCAACATTTCCATCCACCACATCAGCATCACCACCACCATCCGCATTTACACCATCATCACAACCATGGTCTGCTTAGCCACCAACATCAACTGTCAGGCCTTAACCACTCCGCTCCGACGACCACCACCAATACGGCCACGATCGCACGAAGCAACGGTAATCTAGTTTAATCTAGTCCCCATCCCTCTAGAGACCCCGATTTGAACCCGATCTGCAAGATCACCTAGCATAGAAAAAAAAAGACCTTCCAACGTTTTGGCCCACAGAAATTGCTAAATTGCAAACCCCTCCTCATGAATGCAAAAAACCGAGAAATAAGAGTACAGTAGCGCTTGAACCCTCCCTTTGAACCACTCAACCCAAGCATACAACCAACGTCAATCTAACCAACAAAACTTACAGAAGCTGATCCGCATCTGCATCTCCACCATCACCATCATCACCACCACCATCGTCTTCCGTCGCCGCCAGTCACCACAACGATCGAGCCCTGGTGGCAAACGCCCCCGTCGGATTCCGGCTGTATGCTGGATGCGTCGATTTGCGGTGGTGGCGAGTACCAGATGCCTTGTGAAATTATGGTTCCACCGCCACAACCGCCACCATCGCATTCGTCGATCGTTAGTGGTGTCAGTGTTCGTCCACCACTGCCGCAACCACCATTACAGACGCAGATCGAGCTGGAAGAGGACGAAGAGGAGCAGAGAACGGAATCGGAAGATCTAGCGACGTGCAAGTAGAAGACGTCAGTGTTACTTTTGTGATGTGAGTTCTAATCTAACGACCGTACTACGAGACGAAACATATATTCGCGAATGTAAATAACGTGACTCGCTCGTGTTTTAGTGTATAGTAAAATTATAACTGTCATTTTAACACAAATCGATCAACTTATGTAAACAATGATCTGTATATTTTAGAACTTCGATTCACTGTATAAATAAATGAAAAAATAAATAGGCGAACCAATTCGACGAAGAGAAGAAGAAAAACAATAGATCTTAGTGTGGATAGTTAGCGTTATCTAACAAATATATTTAAAACCGAAAACAATTAAGCGGTTCTAGACAACCCAACCGACGGACCATTGTTCCGTGGCTGATTCTTTTGTTAGTTTTTGTTTTCTTGGTGAATTCACGTCTCTGAACTTGAAACTATTTGCTGGGGAAGAGATTGTATATGTGAGCAAATTCAAAATTGTTAAACATTCATTGGTTGGTTTGGTTGAATTTATATTTGGATCGATTGAAAACGACGAGAAAAAGGAACAACAAGAACGATTGATTTCTGTTTCATTTGGCAATTACGTACATCTGCATGGAAGCAAGCGAAAGAAAACAAGAGTAAGGAAATGCCAAAGAATACATTTATTGAAGTAATATTAATATATTTTTATACTTAATGTTATTTAAAATAAATATTTAGAAAGGACAAACTCATTCAAAATGATAACCTGCCATGTTGTTATTAGAGAAAGAAAGCATCGGCGTATAAAATTCGTTGTAAAAGACCCGTTAATTCGAAATGCTTCGATGGATAAAGAGAAAGATTTACATTGGATCCACACTAAAAACAGCTCCCACGTTCGTTGGCAACATCTCATCTCAATAATAAAAAAAAAACAAGTCGTATCGAACAGCAAAAGTCCAAAAACCGATTATTCAAGATCTGTTTTCGATAGTATTTTCAACAAATCAAATAACTATAAAAACGTACACACATTAGCATTTTTATCAAAACTAAGCATAAACAAAATTATTAATCTTTTATTCCTCTCTGTTTCCGTACGATCCCGCTGACTTCAACAGGTAGGTAGGTAGGTATTATCAGTTTTGTTCTGTCCACACACGTTTGGCATCGTCCCGCGGAGAAGCGCGTCTGCTTTGTAGTTTTGTATTTATCTCCGCCTATTGATCTCCACTGGAGGAATCTAGAAGTGTTCGGTGAGCCTCCGGTTTGTCGTAAATTTATTAGCTGTTTAGATGTGAGGATTTCTTGCTGGAGCATTTACAGTGGATTGAGTATGAAAAATAGAACCAGTTTTTGGATCTAGTTGCCAGTTGCTAGAATTTATTTTTAAATATCGGTATCATCACAAGGGATAGTGGAAAATTGCGATTTTATGGCACTCGTGAATTTATGATGATATTACAATCCAATCTCGCTGTTTGACGATACTTAAAACTTAGGTCTGGCGAAGACGTAATGATTTTTGAATCAATTGGAATTGTAAAAATCGAGGAAGTTTTTACTGTTATTTTAGAAGGAAATCTATAGGAGGATTTGAAATTTGAGTGAAAGGTCAACAATTTTTTTTTTTTCGGAAATAACTTCATGATTATGAGACAAATACGTAATTTTTGACAAGGTTGCTTATCATCCCAGCGAAGCACATTTCGTTGTATTTCTCTCGCTGGGCGCACTTGCACTTGAGTTACGGTTAAGTTTGTTTACTAGCTGTTTCAATTTTATTGCTTTTCTCGTGTATATTTTGTGACTTTTTTCTTGTGTTAACGTTTGCTGGCTTGAGTTCTCCATAAACATCAAGAGCAACGTGAAGTTCAGTGCAAACACTAGTTGTCCCGTGTGAATTCGTGTGGTTTTGTTTCACGCTGTTGTGATCCAAAATTTATTGACGTAACTCATCGACCACCCACGTCACTGATTTTGCCGCTTTAGTCGACATTGGTTGTGGCGCCTGTTCTCCTGCAACCAGCGTTCGAATTATCTTTCATCGAAGGACAGCGAAGAGTACATCATTAGGCGCATTCAGACGTGATCAACATCGAGATGGAGAAAAACTGCTCGAAATGTGACTCTGCCATCGTTGGCATTGAGCAGGTTGCTTGTCGCGGATTTTGCGGTGGATCGTTCCACATGGGCTGCGCCGGAGTGTCTCGTGCGCTATTGGGATACTTCACCACACACCGAAGCAACCTTTATTGGATGTGCGACAAATGCGTGGAATTATTCGAAAATTCTCACCTTCGATCTATTGCAATCAAACCCATCGATACTGCTCCGCTCGTGTCTCTCACTCAGGCCATCAGTGAGTTGCGCACCGAAATCAAGCAGTTGGCGTCTAATTCTACCAGTACCGCTTCGCCGCCTGCGCCTAGGCCGATTCCGCAAGTTGAGAAGCCTCGCATCGTTGACAACTGTTTGTCTGGATCCAAAGCATCGTGCCAGGATGTCGTATGCGTCCCAACGTACTCGGAGCCGAAGAAATTCTGGCTTTACCTGTCACGAATCAGGCCTGACGTGGCAAACGAGTCAGTTCTGGGGATGGTGAAGGCAAACCTGAATCTCAGTGAAAATCCTGACATAGTCAAACTAGTGCCCAAAGGAAAAGACGTATCGAACCTAACGTTTATTTCCTTCAAAATTGGTTTGGACCCTGGATTGAAATCCCAAGCGCTGGACCCTTCAACGTGGCCGGAAGGTATCATGTTTCGAGAGTTCAACGGTTCCCAAAAATTTCGAAAGCCCGTCAACCCGTCTCCTACTGGCTGATCCCGGGATGCAACGTCGATAGCCTAATGGAAGCCCCCAAGCCACCTGAAACAGTCGTGCCCATTCCTGCATCCTGCCAACCGAGTCGTCCCGGGCCTGTTAGAGTAGGGGAGGGGGTCTTCCAACCGGAATTATCAGGCAAGTACTTTCCACTATCGACTTATGCTTCGCCTGATGTACCTTCGACTTATAGCACTGTGACTTCTGTTTGTTCAAACACCAATGACGAGATCGAAACCGAGACTGCTAATACTGCATCAACTACTTCATCGATACAAACCAACTACACTTCGACACCGAGACGCCCGCTATACAGCATCATGGAAGCCCCCGATCCTCCCGACATGGTCCAGTTTGCATCCCGTATCAACTTAGTATCCTGCCATCAGAGTCTCGGTCCCGTTGTCGGGAGTGGAGAGGGGGTCTTCCAAACAGCGAACACCGGCAAGTACTCAAGCTTAACAACCTGCTCGCTCCCTGATGATCATTCACTTTCTAGTGCACCCGATTACCAGCGTTGCGTGACCTCGTTCGACGACTGTGGGGGCAGTAGTGGAACCCCATCAAGACATCGATTTCTGTCGGTTTATTACCAAAACGTCAGAGGTCTACGAACGAAAACATCTGACTTGAAGTTAGGATTATCCAGCTGCGATTACGATGTGGTCGTTCTCACCGAAACGTGGCTCCGGCCCGATATAATCGATGCGGAGCTAACATCGGATTACTCGCTGTTTCGATGTGATCGTAGTGAATCAACAAGCAACTTGTCGAGAGGCGGGGGTGTGCTCGTTGCAGTAAAATTGAGTCTGCACTGTACCGAGGTATCTTTAACCGACTGTAGACAGCTTGAGCAAGTCGCTGTGTGCGTGAAACTACCAAACCGGTCTCTGCACATTTTCGGTATTTACCTTCGTCCGAATTCTGATCCTGCGTTATATTCCACCCACTCTTCCGCTGTTCAGTATGTTGCTGATCGATCGGCGGCCAGCGACATAGTCTTACTTCTTGGGGATTACAATCTCCCTCAGCTGCAATGGACCTTCGATGAAGATGTCAATGGATACCTGCCTGCGAATGCCTCCAGCGAACAAGAACTCGTACTAACCGAATCCATTTCTACATGTGGTTTGGTTCAACTAAACTCAATCCCAAACCCGAATGGCAGGCTACTCGATCTGGCTTTTACGAACGCTCCTGACGATTTTGAAATATCGCATCCTGTTTTACCACTCTTGCCTATCGATCCTCACCATCCGCCGTTAGAACTTCAAGTTGATGTACATAGATGTGTGCACGTTCCAGCAAACGCTCAGTCGGACTCTATTGATCTGGATCTTAGGCGCTGCGACTTCGAATCTCTCAATGCAGAATTTTCATCGGTTGACTGGGAGCAGCTTCTTCAGGGGCACTCTGCCGATGATATTGTTCTTCTGTTTTACGACAAGCTTTACGAAATTCTCCACTTGAAGGTCTCTCGACGCCGCCCTGCTATTAGTGGAGCCAACAGGAAGCCCTGGTGGTCCATTGAGTTAAGAAACCTGCGCAACAGACTGCGTAAAGCACGTAAACGATTCTTCGCTAACAAAACCATTGAAAACCGAGAATCGCTTCACCTTGTGGAACTGTCCTACAAAGAGCTCGTAGCATCAAGCTACCATGAATACATGCAGAGGCTGCAATCGAATTTGAAACAAAACCCATCAATGTTCTGGAGGTTCGTGAAGCAACAAAGGGCAAGCAATCGTGTTCCGGACAATGTCAAGTATGGTGACGCTTTGGCCTGCTCTTCTGAAGAGGCAGCTAATCTTTTTTCGACCTTCTTTCAAAGTGTGTTTAATGCGGAGTCGCCCCAACCTCACCCGGGTTGTTTTCAAAATGTGCCATCCCATGATATCCACCTTCCTTTTTTCAATTTTTCTCGTGAGGAAGTGTTGAGAGCGTTAGCCAAACTAGATGCGTCGAAAGGAGCCGGAGTCGACGGTTTAACTCCAACACTGCTGAAGAATTGCGCCGAGTCTATAGTTAAACCTTTGACGATACTGTTCAATCGATCGTTAAATGAAAAAACATTCCCAGGTTTATGGAAAACTGCCAAAATGATTCCCATCCACAAATCGGGTAGCGTGCGGCACGTTGAAAATTACCGCGGGATCTCGATTCTCTGTTGCCTGGGAAAGCTCTTTGAATCCTTGGTCCACGAGGTCTTACTGTCTGCAGCAAAACCGATAATTTCGGAATACCAGCATGGATTCGTTCCCCATCGCTCTGCAACAACCAACTTATTATGCTACACCAACGTTTTGTTTCGTGAGATTGAAAGCCGGAATCAAGTGGACTCTGTATACATTGATTTTTCGAAAGCATTTGATACTGTTCCGCATAGCTATGCCGTGGAAAAGCTGAGACATATGGGTTTTCCCGATTGGATAGCCGACTGGCTAATGTCTTACCTGACTGGTAGGAAAGCATTCGTCCAGGTGAACTCAGCACGATCCAGGACCTTCTACATTCCATCTGGAGTTCCACAAGGGAGTGTGTTAGGTCCATTGATCTTTGTGCTCTTCATCAATGACTTGTGCCTGCAAATATCTTCTGGAAAGTTGTTTTTTGCCGACGACCTCAAAATCTTCAGAGTCATCAAGTCTGTTTTGGACTGTGTTGCTCTGCAGATTGACATCGATGCCCTTTCACGATGGTGCAAGGAAAATGGAATGTGCGTGAACATCAATAAGTGCAAGGTGATCACTTTTAGCCGTTGTTGGATTCCCATCAATCATCTTTACAATA